ATTGTGTCTATGGTTCATTTACTTCAGAGAGTGGAAACTTCGTGGGAACCAGCGTCAAGTAGAAAAGTCCCCCTGCCTAATCTACCTCAGTCTCACTCCTTGGAAAGCTAACTCATTGTATGGTAGGCAGTTAGACAGACATGAGCATAGCAAGGAGGATGGGCCAGGTATAGAAGGCCACCAGGGAGGAAAGCGCTGGGTGCCTAGCAACAGGTAAAACCGGAAAAACAAGGGCCTCACCCCAGGGTAACCCCTCCTCACCTAGAATATTGCTGGTCATGACATTTAGGCCCCCTGGCCTTTCATATCGCTGGTCACCCAATTTAGACACTCCCCTGACCTTTCCTCTCCTGGCATGTTTCTAGTCATGTGGGTTAGACCCTGTACAGGGGGAAAAGACAAGGAGGCCAGAGAATAGCCCTTAAGCCCTTATGCCCGCAGGACAATGAGGTTCTGACGGGCATCAAATACATTTAGACTTCAGTTATGTTTCAACTCCAGGCCTAGAAAAGCAGTAAAACCAGACAAGCGCTGCCACAGATGGCATCAGGACCAGCTGTATTGACTAATGACCCCCTGCTCCGGCATCACCCAATCAGTAGAGACTATGACCCTGACAGGGCACACCTGAAAAGCTGATGAATATTCTTTTGGGATTGTCCCCTGAGACTTCCAGATAAATACCCTCCAGCTGGAGGACCCAGTATGGCTCTGTCTAGAGAGCAGGCTCACCTTTCCCTATCCCATTCACCCCATGCACATTTTCCTTGCCTCTCTCTTTCTGCTAGGTCCCAAGGGCCCTTCTTTTGCCTCTGTAACTTGTTTCCTGAGCCCATTTCTTCTACCACTCACTTATTCTACCTCTCTGACTTTCTTTCTAAATAAACTTCCTCTTATAGTTTGAATCTTGGCCCTAAATTCTTTCCTAACCAGAACTTCAGTACCGAGGTTGCCGAACCAAGGCCCGGTCTGACTTTACTGCTCTAACACCTGGTGCCATTCTTGCCACCAACAATTATAGTTCCAGTTCTTAGTTGGTTTTTTTGTTTTTGTTCTTTTTTTTTTTTTTAAGATTTTATTTTATTTTCTAGAGAGAGGGGAAGGGAGGGAGAAAGGGAGGGAGAGAAACATCAATATGTGAAAGATGTGGCTCAGTTACCTCTTGCTTGTCCCCAGCTGGGGACCCAGCCTGCTACCCAGGCATGCGCCCTGACCTGGAACCGAACCAGTGACCTCCTGGTTTGCAGGCTGGTGCCCAATCCACTGGGCCACATTAGGCAGGGTGATTTTTTTTTTTTTAACTGGATTTCATTTCTGTTCCTTAGGGCCGGGTTGAAATAATTCTTTAAAGCTTGCTATACAAGGTCGAGCAATACTTCCCTAGATAATCCTTTCCCCCTCTTTAAGCTCCCACCTCCAACAACAGAAATGTCTCACAACTAATCAGTCTCCTCTTCCTATTTTTCAGTTTTCAGATAGTAATGCATCAGGTTCAGCTGGTGCTGGTGTTAGTCTCAAACCTATTATTTATTTTGGACCTCAGCTTTGACCTTTGGGAGGCGGAGTAGCCCAAATGCCTATTTCAACATTATTCCTGGCATTCCTAAACTTGGCTGTGATCAAGATCATGTGAAGGAATGGGTGACTGTCAAACCAAATTAGTTAAAGCATCAGTAATGAGAAAAAGACAAGTCATTTCAATTTATTATTAATATCTGAATGGTCACTGTCAAATAGTGGTAAGCATTCTAAATGAAACTTGGAGTGCAATTTTTCTTATAAACATTTAAAAATGTTGAAATTCTATCACTCAGTGGAATTATAAATGTATGTTATTTTAAGAAAAATGCTGTAATAAATTAATGGTTATGAAATCTCACATTGGACACAAAGCAATTATTAAGAATTTTCTGGAGGAGGGCAAAGGGAGGAACATTGAGACAACCGTAATATAATAACATGATTTAAAAATAAAATTAAAAACAGAATTTTCAGTTAGTTAAAAATTAGGAAAAACTAGTTGACAATATGAATAATAGGAGAGAACGTATTGGCTGGATAACTTTAGGAAGAATCTTATATGCTTTTTGAGCCAAAAGTATTTATAACAATTTAATAAATAATACAAGTACTATTTAATTTAATAAATAGTACAAGGCAGAATAATGAAAGTTAGATCATAACATAGTTCTTTCTATAATTTCATTATATCTTAATCTTTGCAGGATTGATTGCTCTATCAGCACTTAGCATGTTAAATAAAGTAATCCTTAAGAACCATACATTTTAGGAGGATTTTTTTTTATTGAGGTATAATTTACATACAGTGAGTACACAAACCTTAAATGTAAAGCTCAATGAGTTTTCACAAAGTAAACATATTTAGACCAAGCAAGGCCATGTCCAGCTTACCTTTTACCCCTTCCCAAGGTGCTTTTTATCTTTGTCACCACGGATTACTTTTTAATTATGTTTAATTTTTAATTATTTAATACTGATTGGGTCAAGAGTCTTTCAAGAAAAAGTCCCCTTTGGGCCCTGGTTGGTGTGACTCAGTGGGCTGAGTGCCGGGCCTGTGAACTAAAAGGTGGACGGTTCTATTCTTGGTCAGGGAACAGGTCCCCAGATGAAAGCATGTGAGAGACAACCAATCGGTGTTTCTCGCCTTCTCTTCCCCTCTCTCTAAAAAATAAATAAAATTTTCAAAAAAATTATATAAGTCCTATTTGGAAATTCTTCTCATTTTGAAAAGATGCATTAAAGGCATAATTTTAACAAATTCAAAACTTTGTGAGGAGGAGGTCTTCAAAACCATGACATCATCAATAAAGCATATATGAAAAGTTGTGAAAAAAGGAGAACGTGAAGAAAAAAAATCAGCTACTCCAAGTATCTCATACCTTAGTTGAAAATCTATTTAGAATGTTACACGTATAGGGTAGTGACTATAGGATATATAGACTTTATACTCAACCATTTGGCCACAATGTACATTTCATGTACCTCTTTTTTCAAGCCTCTGTGATATATTTAGTGCATCTCTACTTCCAAGACTTACTTGCCCCACACTCTGCTTGAATTCTTCAATGTTCTTTTCTTTTCTCCTTTCTTTTGATCATCCCTTCCCTACCTTCTCTCCTTATCATCTCACCCAGCCTACCTAACAGGACTCTGCCTGCAGACTTGTCCTCTAGCCGACGCACGAACATCGTACCAGCCAAAGAAAGCCCTCAAGGAGAGTTGAGTTCAGTATTTGTCTCGGTCTGCATGTTTTCTAAAGGTGGATATGACTGGACAGGGGTATTTCTATTACTGCTACCATGGATACTACTAGTTATTATTGTTAAATGCCTATCAGTGCCGGAGGCTGACTAAGGCTTCGTGAATGTCATTTCTAAGTCTCCAGGAATCCTGTTAGATAGGTGGTATTACTCCCATTTTACTATGTTGTAACACAGATGCAGAGAGGTTCAGTAGCTGGTTTGAGGTCACATAGCCATGACTCTCTGAGCCCAAATTTACACCCAGTTCCCTATGGCTCCAAAGCTTCCTCTAACTCTGGTCAGAAGCAAAGGAGCACTAGAATTGTTAGGAGGGGTAGGCAGAGAGTAGGCTTCCCAGCTGGGTGCTGAAGGAGGGCAGGTATGGGCAGGTATGGCCATGGTGCCATTTGTCTGGGATTGAGATAAAAGGAGAGAGAAGGGGCCGGTAATGGTCAGAGCTGCAGGCAATGCGGGAGAGGCTGTCAGGTCCAGGAAACATAAAGCCATGGCTTCTTCAGCTTTGCTCACCAGGGAGGGAGAAGTGATATCTGCAGCCCAAGGGGACAGGGAGGTAGCATTTCTACATCTCAACCCCAACTGCCCGGGCTGCCTGCCAGAGTGGAGAGCCAGGGAAGCACGGAGGCAGGAGAGATGATTATCAGGAGGAAGGAAGCTCTGGCAGCTCCCGCCAGCCTGTTTGTGACAAGCAGGCTCTGGGCCACGGAAGTCCCTTGAGGTCAAGGGAAATGTGACCTGAAGCAGAGAGCTGAAACTGGGATACTCCCCTTGCTCTATGCCTTCAGGCCAAGGGGATCCAGCCAGAGACAGGCCCAGGACCCAGGCTGGAAAAGCACTGGATTGGAGAAGGCGGAGGACAGTTAGGCAGAGAGAGAAATAATGAAATTAAGATCCCTGGGGCACCTCATAAACAGTCTCTTGGCTAGAGAAGTAATGCCCTTTATTGCAGTCAACCCAGAGTAACTGGCTTTTCAGAGCTCTCAGGGAACATACCTTCATGAGTGAACTCTTGTCTAGCTCTCCTCTTGTCCTGCAGAGGTCTCTCCTTTCTCTCTTTCTCTCTTTCTTTCTCTCTTTCTTTCTTTCTTTCTCCCCCTCCCCACCCTGCCTCAATGATGAAGTAGAAAGTGCACTGTATGTTGAGGGGAGGAAACTTAGGTTCAAGTTCACGTGCTGCTCCTAACCAATGTCACAGGTCTTTAATTAATTAAGCTGTCTGAAATCTCAGTGTCCTGGTCTCTAAAGAAGGCAAGTCATCAAGTCTATCTCACAAGGGTCTCGTGTGGCTGTATCATGGAAAGCGTGAAATACTATAAAGTGGTACTTCTTTGCACAGAGGCCACCGCACTGACACATCAGAGCTGGGCAAGACTTCTAGCCCTGTCCATCAACCCCAGGCACCCCTCTTACATTGATTTCTTTCTGTTGTCTTGCTGCCATGATAATGTCAGGCGGGGGGAAGATGAACAAGGCACAGACCAGGGACCCCCCAACCCGAGCTTGCTCAGCCCTTCTTGGGTATGAGTACCTAGGGAAACAGCAACAAAAAGATAAAAGATCATCGCTTCCAGAGCTTAGCCCATCAAGGTATAGACCTCAGCTGTCCCTTAGCTTCTCAGAAAAGCCTAAGCTGGAAAGGGCTCCAAGAAATGAAGGGAAGAGAACCTCCTGGGCATAGGAGGAGCACACAGAGGCCTAGAGAGGAAATTAAAGCCTAACTCAAGAGTGACAGAAGCTGGAAACATAAAGGACTTTGTCCAAGTGCACAGGAACCAGGTGGAATTTTCCAGAGTCATCTTTCTGGAGAGGGTCACAGGCTATTATGTAAGGAGCATGCAGTTTCTTCTCTTTGTACTTGCATTCGGGGTACTTCCCTGAGGTGAGCTTACACTCAGTCAGGGACACAGGCCCTTTGCTCTGGTGGCAATTCTTATGGCCGTTCTTGCAGGCTATGATGGGGGTCTGGCAGGTGGCAGCTACACTGGTGAAGGATTCTTGCAGGAAGGTGTTGAGGCTCTTGCAGTGTTTTGTGTGCCTGTTGATGTTGCCCATTGCCCTGTTGCATTCCTGGGGGCTGGGCTGCACATGCTGAGCGTCAAACCACTGAGCTGAGGTCATGTTTTTGGGTTTGGCGCTGACTGGGACCTCAGCCACCCACAGCCCCAGCAACAGGAGCAACAGTAGAGGGCAGAATCCTGCCTTGGATGGTGACATCTCTCTTGGGAGAATGGTCAGAATGGAGGCCTGGGGTCACTGGGGACAGAGAGTCGGTGGTATGTAGTTGAGAAATGAGCCTCCTTATCCCTGCTCTTTCTAGCTAATCAATACCTCACTTCCCTTTCTCCCCCTGGGTCTCATCCCTCCCTCCCCTGTTGTGCCACACCTGCTATGCCCCCAGCCCCTAACCCTGCACACCCATCTCCCACCTTGTATCCCTATCTCCCTTCATTCTGTTCTTCTTGCCTCCTACTCTGTGTTCTATCTCTTCTCTCTCAAGTCCCATCCTCTTTGGGTCCCTATGTCCCTATGCCTTTCTCTGTGTCTCATCCCCTCCATGACCCCATCCCCATCTCCTCTGTATCCCTCCCAGATTTTGTGTCTCTACCCCTGCCATCACTTTTCTCTTTCCCCTGTGTCCCCATCCCCTCCGCATTGAGTCCCTCCTTTGCCCATCTTATCTCTCATTCAAGCGTACTCTCATCTTGTCAGAACCCATCCCTTCTCTGTCCAGTCTCTTCACCCATGACCCATTGCTGGCCTCACCTCTTTACTGGGTCCTCGCGCTGCCGCTCCCGCTCAGTGGACTGAGGATGCACCTACCATCGATGGGCCTCAGCTCTCCGAAGGCTTCTTCTCACTGTCTGACTCCTTAAGAGCTGATCTGGGCTATGTTGCTTCTGTTGAGGAGTTGGGGGGGGGGGCGTGGACTAGGGAGCATTCCCAGGTCAGGAAATGAATCAGGTGCATGCCTCTCCGCCTACATGTGCCAAATAAGCCAATACCTATGGAGCTGATGTACCTGCCTAAACTTGTCTGGCAATGAGGAAGCTTGAATCCTCACACTCAGAGACTACATTTAGCCCTTGGCCACATGATTTTAATGACCCTAATAAAGCACCTGATCTAGATGTCAAGCCAAAATGAATTTCAAGGAGAGTTGTTATTAAGTTCCTCCTATATATACCTCTGGTTCATAATTCTGGGAACAACCAATCACTGTGGTGATAAGAATTGCCTTTTTTTTCCTGACCAGAGATAGAGCTAGAATAGCCCAGATATTTGCTTTGTTTGGTTTCCTGTCATCAGGATTTGCTGCTTATCTTTTGGAGGATGAAGAAGACAGGGAAGTAGATGAATCATCACAGCCAGGATGGCCAGCACCACCCCAACTCAGCTATGTCACAATGGCTTATTCCTCTGGGCCCATCACTTCCAGGTGGTGAGCAAGGCCACCTGGCTTTACCTGAAGAAGGCACACAACGCCTCTCACCCTTTATTCTTCCTCTTCCTCCTTTATTAAAATTTGTAAAACTTAAACATTGTCTAGCTTGAAAATACTGTTGGGGTGGTACCTTAGGCCTTCCTTTACATTTTATGTCCTGTTCCTGGTGGAAAACTTGGGTCACTGCTGCTCGGGGGGCTCTGGGGAGCTTGGCATAAAGCACTCAGAAAAGCTGGGACACTGAGGCAGAGAAGCATTGCTCTGTGTGCGGGGGAAGGCCTGGAAAACCGAGCAGCATGGTATTCTTGCTTTCAGGATTCACTTGTAAGTAAGTAGTAGGTGACCTCAGAATACTGAGTTCAGGTTCATTCATGTGGTCAACAAATTTTTATTCAGCACTGTTATGTGCCAAGGTACTTGGAATATATTGGTGAACCAAAGAGACAAAAATCCTTATCTTTGTGGACCTTACATTCCATTGGGGGAAAGGCAGTAAAAATATAGATTGTACTTTGTTCAAAGCAATAGTTGCTAAGGAAAAAAGTAGAACAGGATGGAAGTTGGTAGGCAGTGATTTTTAAATAGGGTCATTGAAGTAGGTGATTCTGGGACAAAGCCTTGTAAGAGAGTGAACTTGTGTCCGCCTGGGGAACAATGCTCCAAGTAAAGTGCTGCGAAGGCCCTCACGCAGACGGGTATGCCTGGGGGAACAGTCAGGTCCAGTGTGGCTGGAGCAGGTGAATGGTGGCTTTAGAGAGGGACCAGAGGCGATATCATGGCAAGCCTTAGAGACTGTTAGGACTGACACCTTTGCTCTGTGCACAGTGAGGAGCCCTGGGAGTGTTCTAAGTAGAGGAGTAAAAGGCCTATTTGTTTAAAGATCCCCCGGCTGTTGTGCAGACTGTAACCATAGAGAGGCCATGTTAAACCACCTTGATCATAAAGTTTGTTTTCTGGTCTAGAAGTTAGGATCTGGGTGTTTGTTTCAAGGCCGGGGGGACATCAGTATAGCAGATGGAGAGTGCAGCTGTGGGTCAGGATGATCTTTGAAAGAAAACGTGGAGTTAGAGATGGGAAGCGCCACTAGATGGCAACAGAGAACCAGGAGCAAGTTCACACAGGCCTCTGGCCCCTCTGGGTCACTGTCAGCGACGCCTTGGCTCTGGGTACAGCACTCACTGCTTTGTTAAGGTGTCTGAATCTCTGCAGTTTGAACTTTTGGATGGAGAATTATGCCTCTGCTGCTGTAGAAATGCAAATGTGTGGAGATAAAATCCATGGTTTAAAGCAGACTGTGGATAGAATGCAGATCAGGAGAGGCCAGTCCAGCCCTGGGCAGCAGGGGCGGGGGGCGGGGGGGCTGGTGTTACAGGACCGGGTGGGAGGCCAAGAGCTCATTTGAATTCCTCGTCCAGACTCCTTCTTACTTCTCATTATTCTAGAGTGAGATGTTTCCAAACCACGATTTGCACTGCCCTCTTCTCTTGTGTTCTCCTGTCATTATAATTAACCTAGTTTGCTCTTCATCTCCATTATGCTAGGTTCTCCAGAAGGCTGCCTGAGAGCTATGTGAAAGTAAACACAGCTTTACTGTGTCAGGTCAAAGGGAAGAGAAAGTAAAGGTTAGGCTTCTGCAAGAAATTTGAGGAGTTGAACCTACTATCTGCACAATTCATGCTAAAACCCTTACCCTTCCTCGATTATTTGGAGAAGGCAGGTGATTTTATTTATTTGCCTAAACTGCCCAGCTTCCAAGATTGGCTTCACTTTGCATTTGGTAAGATAATTTTGCCATTTTTCCTTCACTTCATGGATGCGGCAAGAAGAAAACATGGCGGAGGGGGGAAACAAGGTTAGGGAGAACAAAGTAAGTCAGGCATCAGGCCAAGGGCTGGTCAGCGAGTCTGGCAGAAGGGAGAAGAGAAAATTTAGAGAAGAGGACAGAAGACAAAATGGTGGAAGAGAAGATGGGAAGGAAGAAAGCCCCTCACACAAGCAGCCTGTATCCAGGGATGTGAGGTAGCTAGTTACCCCAGCATCCTTCTCATTTGATGGCCACGGTCACTGCTCTTGGCCCAGCTTCTCCCTAGGCTGCTGGGTGTGTGTGCATGCGAGTGTGTTTGCTCGCGCCTGCGCGGGTGTTGTCACTGGGGCGGGTGTTGTGAAAACCCCAGCAGTGCCAGGTGGACCTCTGCCTGTCTTCCCCACAGGACAACAGCTGCTGCTTCCTGCAGCCTGTGCTGAGAGGGGGTGGGGGTGGGGGGGCTGGGAGAGGAGGGCTGGGCCTGGATAGGTGCCCTCCCTTCAGAGCCCAGACTGTCTCTCTTCCGGAGTTCCGCACAGACTCTGGATACCAGTGGAAAGCCCATGAGAATTTTCCTTCAAGCGGGAACAGATCTGAGGTCTGTTATCCCAATTTTGTTGCCCCTAGGGTAAATAAAGGTAATGGGCTTATTTACGTAAATGGGTAAAGTGAAACAAACAGCAAGTTGGGGTCAGATGTGGAACTTGCTTTGGGTCTTTGAATTCTCATGACCTTTTCTGGAACAGCTGTGGGTCTGGAGGAGGCAGAACTGACAGAGGGTTGGAATCCTTGGCTTCCAGACCAATGTGTTTAGCCAAGCCAGGACGTAAGAGAGGAGAACCTGACTGGGGCTTGAGACCTCCCTTATGACAGGCCATTGTCAGCTCCCCATTTATCCACAGAATAAAATATAAATTCCTTAGCCTGATATTCAAGGTCTGCTACAATTTGGCAAACCTGTCTTTCCAACTTTATCTCTGACTTTTCTTCCACTGAGGGCCTCAACCCTAGCCAGGCTGGTTTTCTCTCTTTATTCAAATATACCTTTCGTAACTCTCTTTATCTCCATGTAACTGTTCCTTGAGACCCACCCCTGAGTTTCCAGGATAAAACTTACCCCCCCCACAAATTGCTCTGATTCTCCCAATGCAGAGAGATCTTTCTCACTACTAAATTCCTACATTTACTGTCTTTAAGACATATAATTTTCTGCCTTGAATCATGGGTTATTTCTTCATATGGAGTAATTATTTTCTTCCAATTTAGACTGTCAATTCCCAGAAGACAAGGACCATCTGTTGCATTTCTTTTGTATCTCCCATAGGACACAGCATAATGCCTTGTGGATAAGTGACCTTAACTGATTTAGCTTCTGGGTTAGAAGGCATTCACTGTGCCCCTGAACGACCCCAGTCCCAGATAGGATCATGACCAACTAGCAGACCGAGAAACTGACAATGCAGCTCCTAGACATCAACCCTGAGGTTGAGGTGCAGCTATGACAAGAAGTTGAGATGACTGAAGCAATCCTTTGGGTTTGAGGACAACCTAGGAACTGTCCATGACACAGTATGCTGTTCAAGTAATTTTAGCTGGACAGGGCAAAAAGTGATGCACTGAGACTGAGGTGAGCTCACTCTGGGAAAAGTCTTAGGGGTTCCCCTCAATCATAGGCAACCATTGCTGCACCTGCCACTCTAGTCAGTTGTTCTAGAAATGCTAAAACTTGGGGAAGGGAGAGAATGTGTAGTTGAGTATATGCACAAGGTCACCTTTACAAGAAAAATAACTCAAAATTGTTTCAATGATGAACTATTGGTACTCCTTTTGCTAGTGGAAAAACCAATACCATTATAAGCAAAATGTAACACATGTATTTCTAAGTCCTAGATATTTACCAACTCTTTTTAATATATAAGGTATAAATAAGTCTGCACTTATTAGGAAATCTGATTCTCTCATTGGACCAAAATTCTCAATCTCAGCACTATTTACATTTTAGTGTGTTGAGGATTCTCTGTTGTGGGAGCTGTCTTGTGCAATGTTGGATGTTTAGCACCATTCCCTGGCCTCTACCCACTAGATGCCAATAGTATCTCCCAGTTGTGACAATCAAAAATGTCTCCAGATATGAGCAAATTGTCCCCCATTGAGAACTACTGAATTAGACTTGTGACCTTGGGCCAGCTGCTGAACATCTCTAAAACTTAGTTCCTTCATCTCTAGGATAATTCTTGTGTATGTAAAGTCCAGTGTAATTCCACACATCTCAGGCTTAGGGAGTAGATGAGACGATGACAAGGCTGTCTGACTGGACGAAGCGATTCTATGGATCAACACCTCCAGGGTAGGATTTTAAAGACCAGACTACTAGAATGGCAATTTGAAAACCAAAGGCCCATCGTACGCTCAGCACTTTCTCTGGCTCTGTGACTCATGACTTTGTAACATATGCTCGTATGTGAGACTTTCCTTTTGAATTGTAAACTGAATTTGGATTGGATCCGTCTTATTTACCTTTATATTTTCCCCCAAATTTGTCATAGTGCATTTCATATGACCTCTTACAATTATTTAAAAAATATTTTGGAGTAATCAACATGGGCACAGCTAATAATAGAAAGCTTTGTGAAGATGAATGTTAAGTCAGGTATTAGATGGAACTCTGGAAGGGCAGAGTGGGGAAGGGGCCAGGTCACTTGGCTCATTTGGGTAATGAAGGAGGCTTTGCAGATGTGTAGTGAGTTGGGGAAAAATGGGAGTTGGTGTGGAACCTAGGAGACCATCTCTAGTTATCCACTTAAATATTGTTTAATGGTTAAAAGGCACTTTCACCCAGATCATCTCATTCTGTTCTTATAGTCTCATGAGGTAAGAGAGGTATTAATCCCATTTTATAGAAGAGGAAACAGAAACTCAGTAGGTAATCGAATATCAAGTCCTGAGCTCTTTCCTCTGCAGGGTGCTGTTCCATTTCTGTAATTGTGTGTGCAGAGGTGAGTGGTGGTGGGTGGGCAGTGAATGAAGAAAGAGAAAGGCCAAGTTGCATCTTTGAGCAAATAGGGAAGAGATGGCATGCCTTGAGGTGGGGACCACGCAGTGTAGTGAGCTTCCTCAAAACAAAGACTTGAGTCCACCAGACTCCAGCACCTCCATGCATGGGCTTCCATTCAGTGCTGGCTTGCACACCAGCCTGAAGGACACAGATGGGACACTTGCCTGCGTGGGCTTTACCTGCGCTTGCTTGGCTGTGCACACTTCCCTGGAGAGGTGTTCCAAGTAGAGGCTTCTTATACAGAATTTCTGGGATATGTCTTCCTATGAGCCAACTCAGTGGAATTGGTGGGGGGCAAGGGCAGGAGGAGGCGACAACATGAACAAGGACATGGGGGTGGGTGGGGGCACCCTAGGGGAAGCAGGTGGGCATGGAGATGCAGTTGGAGACATGGCAAGGGCCAGGTCATGGGAGCCTTACGTCCTATGAGGGTAGAGCCTTACCAGGGTTGCAGTGAATGTGGTGTCCAGGAGAGGGGAGACCCCCAGCAGGGGAGGAAATAGGAATGGAAGGGACTGGTTTAGGAAAAGTTAAGATTTCCAGGGCTACCTGTCTGATGGACTCACGGTCATTTTGAATACTCAACATGTTCCAGGCACTGGGCTAAAAGCTCTTGATATACATCTTAATGAATCCTAATACTGCCGCAAGGTATAAAATATCATCCTCATTCACAGATAAAGAAACTGAAGTTTACGGTGTTTTAGTAAACTTAGATTGATGGTGCACAGCCTGTAAACAGCAGAGCAGGATTCAATTTCTGGTCTGTTTTACTCAAAAACCTCCCTAAAGGTACAGTTAGGGAGAAGAAGGGGTCTAGGATCACTCTCATTTTTCTTGTACAGGTAATTGAGGAAGCTGAGATAGATGGCAAGGAGGAGAGGCAAGTTGTGGAAAGGATGGGTTCAGTTTCCTATTCTCGTTTGTGCTGTCAGAAAGAGCAACTTAGGGGGTTAGGAATGAGGAACACCAGTACATCTCTCTGTACCTCCTGCTGAACTTACACATTGGCCTTGGAGCACTCAGGTTTCTGCAGTCTGACTCCCTGCTCTCCTGTGGGAAGCCCACAACCTGGATCATATTCTGCAGGGAGACCAGGCTGGAGCCCGTGGAAGTCAAGGGCTGTGGCTGGCAGGCTCTTTGCTTCTGATGAAGGGGCAGATGTTGATGAAAGGGAGAGTTAGGAGTCCAGCCCTTTCCCAACCTGACAAACAATACCAGGAATCTGACTTTCTGGGCTCACATGGCCTACATCCCCTCTGTCCAAGCTATGCTGTCTAATCTGACCTACTGACAAGTTTGAGGCTCCAGGGTCAGCAAGCAAAAATCTCCCCATGTGCCCTGACTCTGAAAGCGCCTGAAGTTATCAGTGAGGGAGTAGTGTGATTGTCTCATTGTAGTTGTTGTGAGGTTGATGATGGGGACTGTAGAGGGTCCACAGAGATATGTCTTTGATTCTTAGTACATCATTTTGGTGGGAGGCTTTTGCATGTGTGTGGGCTCCTGTGCGTGGGATGAGACAGTGGCAGACTCTCTGTTCTCTAAGGAATAAGGAGCCCTTTGTTCCTTAGAAACATGAGACTACTTTTCTTCTTACCTTTCCACAGGAGCAGGGCTTATGGACATCAAAGAAAGCCCAAGAACGTAGAGACTTCTGGCAAGGAGGTTGGAACTAAGTGTTCTTATGACACCAGAAAAGGGAAAACAGATTGTAATGTCTCTTTCCTCCCACCTATCCAACCCTCTCAGCACAGGGGCTTCTCAGACTCAGGGGACATTCCATCCTCCCGGACTGGTCTTTATCTAGAAACCTTTCCAGCCTCTTCTCACCTTTGGGCTGTCCTTGACCTCAGGCAAGAAGAAACCCTGCCTGCTGTCCTGCTCATCTTTCAGCTCCTTTCCTTCCTCCAAAGCAATCAGAGAATCGTAGCTCAGCTTGTTCCTTCTATTGCCTCTGCATCTTCTTACCAGAAGGGTTGACTGGGGCCAGGGATAATCAAGGAGAGGTGGTCACGCAGGGACCAGTTGGACCTCATATTCTGTAAGTGTTACAGCTCATGAACTGGGTGAGGCTGAGACTGTAGGCGGACCAAGGGAAGCGGGGAATGGCCGAGGCAGCTGGCTGACTGGGTGATGGCGGTTAAGCGTCTCCTTTCTCTGGGGCATGAAGTCTAGGGCTGGGTGAAGATCTCTGTGGCGCAGTCCAGCACGTAGGGTATAGGGGAAGGCACAGAGGGAAGGTTGGGGGAATGCTGGAGGCTCTGGGAAGGGGCAGACAGCCACTCTAGGCCCACCTCTGCCTCCAACCACCTTAACTCTACCAGCAGGAAGAATGGCACCAGCTATGGCCTGGCTCCTGTTCCTCCAACTTGTTCTAGAGCCAACTCTGGTCGTGAACATCAACCTGCAGCTTGCCATCAAGAACTTCAAAGACTTACACGTTGACTATCCCAGGGTTAACTACCCAGCAGGTTTCCAGGGCTACTGTAATGGTCTGATGGCCTATGTGCGGGGCAGAGAGCAAAGCTCATATTGCCCGAAGAGCCATTATGTGATACATGTCCCCTGGACAGAAGTTCAGAAATTCTGCAAGCACTGTGAGAACTTCTGTGAGAATTACAATGAATATTGTACACTCACCCAGGACTCCTTCCCCATTACAATCTGCTCTCTGGTCACCAAACAGCCACCCACCAGCTGCCGCTACAATGGTACCCTGACCAACCAAAGGCTCTATCTGCTCTGTTCCCAGAAGTATGATGCTGAACCAATAGGTATCATTGGCCTCTACTAGGCAAAGGAGGTTTTCATTGAGAACCACTCCCTATTGCCACCACAGAGCAGCCTGTCCTCATTTCCAAAACTCTGATCCCTGGTACAAAACTTCCTCCCTGACTTTGAAGGTAGGCAGGACTCCCTCCCAAGAGACCAGGGAAGTAGGAAAAATGTCCAGAGCTTTGATCACCATGCAAAGCCATAACTGTATTCTAGGCTCTTTCCAACTTGTTTACCTGCCCCTCCCCCATCATCTTCCCTCTCCCACAGGCAGTTTTACCCACTCAGGAACCTGACTGTATCCAGTTGGCAGTGACTGTCCATCCACTGGGCCAGATACTGAATCCTGGATGGAGGCCCAGAGCCTCAGCTTACACCCTGGCAAGAGGCACCAAGTTCAATGTTTCGAGTCCCCATATCCAACACCCTTCTCTTTTCAGTCTTCCCCATTTCCCTATGACTCTCTCCACTCACTCACCCACATGCTAGCTCGCTCTAGCTATAGGGACCTTCCTGAGACCTTTAGGTACATTTTAGCCTCACTTCCCCAGAAACTCCGCAGTTCCCTGTCTGTTCCCGTCTATGAAGTCATTTTCTTCACATAACGTGTTCTTTCTTCCCTCCTTCCATCATGGAGCCCAGTGTCTCTCCCCCACACTCCCAGCCTCCTTTAGTCACCCTGTCTTCTCCAACTTCTTTTCCACAATCCTTTCTTTTATTCACTGAAGTTTCAAGTTATTTTCTCTGCTCCATCCCCTCAGACACTCCTGCATTCTGTTCATTCCCAAAGCCCCTCTTGATGTTCCCCAAACCCTGGGATCTGCTGCTGACAAGATGGGTGAGGTGGGCCTAGCTGTAGCTGCAGAAGGTTTCAAGACCACATCTGAGTTATGTAAGATGTAACCATTGGATGAAACTGGATGAAGAGTACATGGGACCTCTCTGTACTATTTTTGCATCTTCCTATAAATATGCAATCATTTAAAAATAAAAAGATTAAAAAAAAATCTGACTCAGTTCTGATTTCATTCCTTTCTCGGTAAGTGCACTAGAACTCCTACTCTCAAAGCCCTGGAGACCACTCACCTCTGGCCATCTTCCTGGGCTACCCTTAGCTGTCTAGGATCTTCTGTTCCACACAAAACATGATGGAGGTGCAGTGGGGTAAAATTCACTTCCAGCTGAGTGTTGAAAATGGATTCTCCCTTCCCCCAGCTATAGAACAAACTCGTAATGAGTCAGACTAAGTAGATCCTTGGCCCATCCTAGCTGGCTTCTATTTCTCCCCACAACAAATCCTGGATTGCAACAGATGAGGAAGGCGGAGGGACAGGGGACTGGTTGGTGGTATCTGGGTCATCCTCCATCAAATTGGGAATTGCTACTCCCCTTTGGCAGGTGTGTGAATACTAGTAATGTATGTGAATGCAAATAGCAAATACTTTTACCTCCATATCTTGTTCATCGCTTATCTCCATATATATTCCTCAGCCCTGATCAGTTGACAAGAATACTAACTTTTGACTCAAAGGCATCAGGCTAAGTAGAGCAAAAGAGGGAGAGCTGGAAACCCTGACTCCTTGGGCTTTCTCTTCTCTCCTCTCTGTCTACACCCACGGGCCCATACATCCCTTACCCTGGTTGAAGACAGAGCTTCTTATATGCTGCACACACAGATGTTTATTGTTCCCCAAGCTCCCTAGTGTTAGAGATGCAGGGTCAAGGGCTGGCAGGCTAAGTAAGATGAGGCTATTCCTTAGTTGCTATGCTTCTTATCATAGGTGCCAGCATTCTTGTAGCCACTCACATAGCCTGAGCTGTCGGTCATCTCTTCCCGTCCTGCGATGCCTTTGCCCTTGCCACTCTCATCGAAGCGCTCCTTGTGGGTGCCAGTGTACTTGCTGGTGTCTGTCAGCCGGCTCACGCCGCCCACGGTTGTTGCTTTCTGCAAGCCAGAGGATGATGGGTCTGATCCCTCTTCTTTCCCCTCCACAGTTTTACCCCTTTTCTAAAGATGGCCTTTCATTCTTGCTCTACCTGTGGCACAGTGCTGCTTTCTCAGAACCCAGAAGTGGCTGTGGGCAGTAACTGTGGCAAGAGCCATCCACCAGTGAGAGAAGAGGAGTCTGGTGGATGGGAGTGAGTGGACTGTGTGAGGTTTTCCTGCTTCCAGAGGAGTTATTTTGATGAGGCTATGGCCAGAGGACTTCAACCCCAAAACCAATAAGCTAGGTTCCTCCTACTGGTCCTATTTGAAACCAGGAGTAGTAGAAAGAGCTTTTTGTAGAGAGGGGACAAATAGGGAACAGGGTGGGTGAGAGGCAGAAAGTCTGAGATCAGACCTTATATAAGAGCAGGAAGAAGAGTAGAAATCACGTTCCAAGTCCTCTGCACTCTGTGTCCACCAGGCCCTAGCTGTCTGGCTCAGATACTGGACACTTGAGAATGAGTCTAAATTTTGCAATGAAAATAGTTGTGGACCTTGGGCAAGTCACTTCCTCTCTCTGGGCCACAGTTCCCTTGCCTCTGAAATGACCAGGTGGTCTCTGAAGTCCGTTTCAGTACCAAGAGTGCCCCAGAGGCATTCTGTCATCTCCCTACAGTATCTGTGTTGGCAGGCATTAGGGTCAGTGGAGGGTAAGGGAGGAGAAGGAGCAGCAGAAATTTAGGGAAGTAGGGTCAAGTGTTAGCAATGAAGAATATCACTCACAGTAACACCAGTGGTAGCTGGATCCTTGCCTTCTATGAGTTTATAAACATTCTCCAGGGCTTCATCTGGGTTCTTACTCTTGAACCGCTTCTGGCCCAGTTCCTTTACTGCTTCCTGGAACTGCTCAAATGTGATGGTTCGGGCATTCTTGGCCCTGGTCAGTCAAACAGAAATCCAGGAACTCTGAAACATGAACTCGTCACCTACCAAGGGCCAACCCTCCCCTTACACAGACTTGCCCACTGAATGTCTTGAGGACAGAGAATAAGTAGACAGTGCCAGGTACCCTGTAGGTACTCAGTAGACCTATTACAAATGCTATATCACATAAACCCTTCCATGTCTCACTATCTTGTTTGTCCTACTCACAACCCCTACTCCCATCTTTGGTCTCTTACTTGACTTTGCTGAACACGATGTCCACATCAGTGGAGGTGACCGTCTTGCCATCCATGATGCCACAGTCTTTGCACAGCTTGGAGAAATTCTTATTGTTCATTTCAGTGCCACTGCTTGATGATTCTCCGAAGACAGCAAACCGCTGGAATGTTTTTTCTGCTTCTGATGCCATGATCAACTGGAGGTGGGGGAGGACAGTAGAGGGGGAGACTAGGGGGTGAGGGAGGAAAGGAAGAGAGGACTGGGGAGTAAAAAGGATGGAGGTTAAGATAAAATCTGAATCAGCAACAGGAAAGAAAACCCCTCCTCCCTGTTCCTCTCTCCCCTCTTTCCACTTACTGTTCCCAGCAGTAGGGAAACCTGTGTGTATCCTACATTCTGAGCAATCACCATCACCACCCACTTCCCCACCACTTTTGGTACCTAAGAGTGCCCAGATGGTGCCTGGCCCTTCCCAGCCTTTGTATGTAAGTGTGTGCATATGTGGCAATGGGGAGACAGACAGGGGAAGAGAGGGAAGCTTCTATGACCTCAGTAGATTTTATATGACATCATGTCCAGCCTCAGCTATAGCTCTAGTCTTTGGGGGAAGGGTCTTTTGGTTTCCCTACCTTGCATGTTGCACTGAACAAATTGCCAACCTTCTGATCTCTCCAGGTGATCAAACTTCCCTTAACATCCCAGACCAGCTTGACCTAGTCCTCTCCGTCCTGGTCAAATTGCCTTATGCTCTGACCCTCAACAAAGGTTGAAGAGAGCCCAGGGAAGGGGTTAATGAAAACAAGATAGCGTAAGTTCAACATTACTCTTCTTTTTAGTCTCCAGGCCCAGGCCAACATGTAAAATCTCATTGGCTTTAGCAGACCAGCCTCAAAAGGAACTTTAAATGGTGCCCTTGTTTGGCTCAACATGGAAATGGTCTTGGAGTGTAACAGATCTGGGTGGGCTAGGGTGAAATAGGTCAGGGTGAGGGTGAGTCTCAGACTCTGAAAATCTTTCAGGCAAGCTTCCTTGCAGGTCAAGGATGTTCCTCAGGGGTTCCTCTATGGCCTTTTCTCTCGCCAGAAACTATATAGATGGATGAACTTCAGGAATCCTAAAAAAGAACAGTTAGGTTGGTGATTTCCTTCTCCTTCCTGTCTAATCAGTCATCAATTCCTGTAAGTGTTTTTTCCTTGTCTTACATATCTATTCCTTTCCATTCCTGTTACTCCCACACTTCTTGAAATCCTTGTCATCTCATATCTAGTTCATTACCCTGGCTTCTTTTTTATTTTTATTTATTGAAAATTGATTTTAGAGAGAGAGAGAGGGAAAGACAGAGAGAGAGAGAAACATTGATTTGTTTTCCTACTTATTTATATATTCATTGGTTGATTCTAGTATGTGTTCTGACCAGGGACTGAACCTGAAACCTTGACATATTGGGAGGATACCCTAACCAACTGAACTACACAGCCATACTTTGGTTTCTAAATGACCACTTTCCTACACTGAATGATTTACCCCCACCCATCCCATAACCCATACCTATTATCCACCCCCCACCAAATTAATTTTCACAAAACTATTTTTTATCCATTATTCCTACTCAAGAACATTCTATGGATCTTCAGTGCCAAACTTTTTTGCCTTTCATTCAAGAACATTCACACTCAGCCCCAATCTACCTTAACAAATATCACCCACCTCTCATCAGCATTATTTTTCATCTGAGGCCATAATGGCCTAATCACTATATGCTTGAGGGGGCTATCTCATAGTGGAAAGAGCATAGCCTTGGAGTGGCATGAACCTGGGTGGGGATTTAAATTTTAGATATGTCATTTACTAGCTTGTTGGCCTCGGGCAAGTCACTAGACATCTCTGAGCTTCAGTTTCCTCATCTGTACAATAAGGACAGCAATACT